GTTCAGCTCCAAAGTGGACATCAATGAAGGCATCAGTTTATTAGATTTGTTGCCCGAAGACAAGGACCTGTTCTACAAATACATGGGCTCTTTGACGACACCGCCGTGCAGTGAAAGCGCAGAATTTATCATTTTTGTGGACCCTATATATCTCAACCCCAATCAGGTTTTAATTGGTAACCAATTCTTCACATTATAATCAAATGTTTAACAGATATCTCAATTTCGGCGCATAAGCGGCGAACCAATGGATGGAATCGTTCAGAATTTGGATCATAACCGCAGAGATCAACAGTCGATTAACGATCGCATTGTATGGCTCTCCGATCCCTTCTCTATTGATAACATCGATTTTGAGTAATTAATACATTTCTGTTAATATCGTTAAAAGTTTTATTGCATTTTCCTTACATTCATTCAAATGTATAATAATTTTCACTTTAAAATCTACAGTATATTAAGATTTATCAAAAAATACATCAAATTTAGTGGATTTAAGATATCTTCAATCAAATTGTAATTAACATTAAATTATATTTAGATTCAAAATAGTTGTCATCTAAGTAGAAAATTGAGAATTTTGTCAAAATTAATAATTTGTTTGAGGATTCAGTTATCAATGCGTTTATTGACACAAATATGTCTGTTATGGATATGCATGAGACAAGTATTCCTGTTATCGGTTTCGTAACAACAGTTCAGCCAAAGACATGAATATAGACACCGATTGTCTTCGCGTTTTTCAGCCCTATATTGGCGCACATTATCCACAGCGCAGACACCCATCGGTTTCATGCCTTTTATGCCAAAACCGCAGATATGGTTACGTTTATGAATATCTAAGAGATTCTGATTCTTGAATTGTTTGTCACAGTTTTGGAGATTGCATTTGAAGGTGTGTTTGTCTCGGATGTGTTCGTACACTTCCGTCACATCTTTCGCGTAAAATCGGCACAAATTCACGTCATATTTGCAGAAAAAGTTTGGCTCCGAATCGATGCACTTCTTTTCCACATAAATCTCCCACTCATTGGTCGGCTCTGTCTTTGGTTTGAGTTCTTTACGGCAATCAGTGTTTGGTTTGAGTTCTTTACGGCAATCAGTGTTTGGTTTGTCTCTCTTGTCAGTAGTCTTCAATATCTTCGGTTTGGTGTCCACTGTTTCGGCTTTACTTTTAGCCGAAGGTCGGCCTCTCTTCCGACCAACTGCTGGACCTTTTAGAGACAATTTAGTATTTATGGAAACGTCTCTCGAATGAAGTTTAATGTGAGCATTGAATTGAGCGACACTTTTGGTGCAAAATTTGCAATTCTTGAAATTGCAAATCAAGTATTCCTTATCTAATGGAGAACTTTGTTTGCCTTTATCATCAATTTCTTCATTAGCTTTGCATTTAGAAGTGCTTTCTTTCACTTCTTTTGAGTTTCTTTTCAGTCCTTTCTTCGAGTCGTCAACTAATTCTTGTTTTGGAGTCCGTTTCAAATCGCAAACTATCGGACGGTTTGCCAAATGGACTGCCATTACGTGATCATTAAATTTGGAACCAATTTTGGTGACAAACTTGCAGTCCATATGATTACAAATCAGATATCTGGCACCTTATGGTAAAATACAAAATAATTAGCATTTATTAGTTATATTTTAAAATTCCCAAAACATACCCTCAAAGAGTTTGATTTGCATATATTTCTCACAAATCGAATCCAAAGCATGAGAAGTGACAGCATTTTCAATAACAGTCGGATTGTCTGTATTTTCAACCATTTTCTTATTATCTTTGGCTTTAGAGACCGATTCTTCTTTCACTTTTTCTATGCTTTTTGTTTTAAGCAATATTTTTGAGTCATTCATATTCTTCTGGATGTTGTCATCAGTTTTATTGGCTTTTGAATCCAATGTTTGTCTGTTTCGCAACTTTTTTGATGACTGAGTATTAGTTGCCTTTGGTCTGAATTGACACCATATCTGGTGTTTCTTGAGATCAATTGTACGATTAAACTTGGATTTACAGCCATCTCTACCGCAAAACAATTCATTTGTAGATTCGGTGCCTTTGTTTGAATTGCCAGAAATGCCGTCCAATCGTCCACTGGTTTCGCTCTTAACTTCTTTAGTGTCTCGAACTCTCGCTTTCAACAGAGTTTTGGTTTTGTTGGTTGAGGTAATCGTCTTAATAGTCTTTGGTCTCAATGGACACAACTTCTCGTGTCTATTGCGGTCCGATTTGTCGGCAAACTTAGCGACACATCCTTTTATGCGACACAACAATAGATTCTTCTTCTGGAGGCCGTCAACCATAGCATTGACAAGACTCGGGTCCGATTGTTGGCTACAATTGTCGAGAGATTCCCTAAACTTCTTCTTCCACTCACCGGTTGTACGGAAGGGACAAATGTGTTGGTTATGGATGTGTCGCTACGGGAGTCAAAAATATAATTTTTTGCATATAATTAGTAAAACGAGTGTTCAATAAATTACCCGTAAATCACTGGTTAATGTAGTGAATGCACAGCCTTTCCATTTGCATCGATAAGCCTTTGTGCTGCCTTTGATGGGGTCTTCAATGATCACTATTTCTCTCCATTTATCGATATTGTCTTTACGACAAACACCTATCGCTCCCTTTTTATTGTCAAAATTGCAGATATGATACTTCTGGTGCTCTCTCCACGAATTGGGGGTTCGGAACACTCGCCCGCACCCGACTTGAGGACACTTGAGGGACAGTCCGATATGACTGCAATGGATGTGAAGCGCGATTTGCTTCGATAAGCGGCACTTGAACTCACAGCTACTGCTGTGTCGACACAAATACCATTTCTGGCCGTTTATCACTTCCGTCTCAATATAGGCCTTCAGATTAGATATACCCATTCCTTTGAGACTTAAGCCCTCTTCGGTCACACTTATGTCAATCATTGGACTTATTTGTGACTCAAGTTTGGTCTCCTTTTCCCGATTCACGCCTTTCGTGACATTCAATTGCTTTCCGCGCTTTCCCTTCAATTGTTTACCTTTTCCTTTGGTCTTAGATTTGATTTTGGAAGCGCTTCCACTCAATCGTGTGTTTGTGGCCTCACTTTGCGCCACATTATTGTCGGAAGACGTTGTGTCACAATCAGGGAAAATCTGATCCCAATACACACTCTCTGTGACAGCGGCTGACGTTGTCGTCGGTGTCTTCTTCGGCGCCAATACTCCGGACAAGTGTTTGTTAACATGTCTTCGGGCGGCGATTCTTAAGTTGGTCTCAAACCCACAGTCAGACCACATGCAGACCAGTCTCTCTTTACCACCGCTTCCGTCACACAATTTAAACCATTGCCGCCACTCCTCGTCCACCGACTCCTCCTTCACACCACTGCTGTGACCGGCGGTCGACTGTCCGCCACTCCTGTCGGCCGTCACAATGTCTGAGCCGTTCGACTCATCGGACAAATCAATCATAACTCTGCCGTCACTTTCGGTCTCAATGTCTGCGTTAATAACAAATGTAAACCAAATAAGGGATCAATTGTGCGGACACAACGAGCAATCAATACCTTCGATGTCTTCGTGCGATTGGTATCCAAGACTTGTGTCCATGTGTTGAGTCAAGTGTCCAAACATTTTGAGTTCAGTCTTCTCGCAGTGATGACAGTCTTTGTGTCGACAAACGAACCAAACTTTGCCACCGATTGTCAGACACTCGAAGAATTGTGAGGTGTTATCAGCTGATTGTGTGGCCATCGATGGGCTCTGAGCTCTGATTGGCTGCGAATTGGCTGTGATTTCGGTTGGCTTTCAGAGCAATGAACACAACATTCGAAATGTGAGCCGTAATGAAGGGATCGCTCACTCATTGCCACACATTTTAACACATTTTTCTCAACGCTTTTCCTATTTTTTTTTGTTTGCCTTTTATGCATACTTTTGGCCACAATTCCACTTCAAAGGGTATATAAATTTATGACTCATTTATGACTTGCAAATATCAAATTGAAACCCATGTTAAGTCTATGGCAAACGCTTTACTCATTGCGTTAGCATTTTATTGCTCCCATAAAAGGGTCAGTATTTGTGATAATTAAAGCCTTTCAAAATATGCATTTATAAGCAGTCAAATATGTCATGTAATATGCACTAAAAAGTGGCTAAATATGCACTCAAATATGCACTTATAATTCTGTTAATATAGGATATAAATATTATTTTATATAATTTATAAACAAAATGACGAAATGTTGTGATTAAAATGGTCATTAGGCCTTAAAAACTCATTTAAATATGCTAAATTATAGATTAAATATAAATTAAAAATACAGTAGACATTCGGTTTTGACACTTTTGGGTGCTGTTAAAAATGGGTGTTAAAATCGAAATCTGTTAAAATCGGGTACTTTAATAATACCAATATCGCTCGCCGGTGCTAACAAAATGTTATGTTAAAACCGAATTCTGTTAAAATCGCGCCTGTCAAAACCGAATGTCTACTGTATATGACATATTTTTAAATGCTGTAATAATTGACAGAACTACTATATATAATACTTTAACACTAATATATAATGTTAATCGAATAGATATTTGTTTTATTACTATACATAACATTTTGTTAGCACCGGCGAGCGATATTGGTATTATTAAAGTACCCGATTTTAACAGATTTCGATTTTAACACCCATTTTTAACAGCACCCAAAAGTGTCAAAACCGAATGTCTACTGTATATGACATATTTTTAAATGCTGTAATAATTGACAGAACTACTATATATAATACTTTAACACTAATATATAATGTTAATCGAATAGATATTTGTTTTATTACTAAATATTTGGTCAAATAATTTTAAATAATTGTAAATTTTATAATAGATTAGACATTTTAGTTATGATTTTCGATCAAAACGATGGTTTTTAAGCTTTTGGACCAAATATGCAGTTATATGCATTTATGATCCAAATAAGCATTTATATGCAAAATAAAAGTTCTTCAAAACATCCCTTATTATGTCATTCGTTTGCCCCCAAAGTCCCAAACATATACAACTAACCGGTAAAAACATGCATTTGCATGATATGAAAGGCTTTAGTGATAATTCTTCAAACTCTATAACTTTTAATCCAATTCTCTGTGAAATCAAGTTTCGCTCAAAACATACATTTATTCAATAAATATTGACTGAAATACTAATCAAACAATACTTGAAAAATCAAATTTCTTTTTATTAATTTTTACATCAGATTTACATTATATTAATTGGAGTTTAAAATGAATAAAAACTAAAACATTTTCAAATCAATGACAATAATATTGGGACACAAAAAATGA